AGTAGTAGTACTACTAGTAGTAGCAGCAGCAGCAGCAGCAGGAGCAGGAATTTCTTGGTGCCGGTGCTTGTTGCCGTACGTTAGCAGCAGCCAATACCACTTGCTCCAAACACACCATAGCTGCCACCCTTGAACCACCAAAACCCTAAACCCTAAACCCTACACCCTAAACCCTAAACCCTAAACCCACCACCCACAGCACTATGAGTCATCGAGCTTAAGCCATGATGTTCTAAGGCATGGCACATCTCCATGGCTCGGATCCAGGATTCACGCATCTTCGTGAGGCTGCTGAAAATAATTGGCCCTCTCCTGGGGTTTAGGGTTTAGGGTTCAGGGTTTAGGGTTTAGGGTTTAGGGATCTCGCGGGGCTTTTGCGGACGGCACATGCGAAGGATGATAGCTCCTATGACGGTCATGAGTATCAGGACGATGATGGTGGCGCTCGTCAACGCACAGCTCATGACGCGAAGATCCATGGAGGTTCTGCTACCATTATTGCTTGGCCTGGCTTAGCTATGATTGTTGTGAAGATAGAATGCTGTCTGGCGAAACGACATAGACGAACGAAACGAGAAGTTGAAGGCAGCAACACTACGCCCACGCTCGATTTTGAAGCGTGGGATCTCCAACGAAGCTGGTGGAAACGTTCCATTCCGCTGAGCACTAAGCGAAGCTGTCAATGAAGGAAGCGGGAAGATGATGAGGCTCAAGATTGTCTATGTCCTTCGCGACAATGACAGGTGGGCAGGATGTGGCCAAGCAATTAGAGGGTTTTGGCGACAGGTCACCGAAGGTAGCAACTTCAGAGAACACGCGACGACGATTTCGAAAGAATTGCTTGTCAAGCGCCTTTCAGTCCTGGCTTAGCGCTAAGCCCACCTTTGAGGCCTTGGGTGAACAAGTTGACATCACCGCCAAAGCTGCGCAAGTAGCGCGAAGCCAGGCATTCCACCCCGAAAAGACGCACTCTGCAAACCCTGCACCCTTAACCCTTACCCCTACACCTTATAGTGATCCTGATAGTAACCCTCAAGGTAACCCCAAGAAAAAACTTCCGATAACTTGAGGAATCCTTTAAGAAGGACGGGCCACGCGTCGAAACTCGTGGCCAGCAGGGCTAGGCGTAGGGCGCGCCGCCAGCCCATGCTGTCCTTTCCTAACTTGGGCTTTCGGGGTTTAGGGTTTAGGGTTTAGGGTTTAGGGTTTAGGGCTTCGGGGCCCCAGGGAGAGGCATGTTTAGGATTCGGGGGCCGGGGCTTCGGGCTTGGGGGGTTCAGGATTTAGGGTTTAGGGTTCAGGGTTTAGGATCCGGTTGATTTAGCAGTTTGGGGTGCGGGCTGAGTCCATACTGGCTTAGCACAAAACTCAGTATGTGTATGGCTTGCCAGGTCGGGTTGTCGCAGTCTAGTCTTTCCTGTGTTCTGGTGTGTTCGCCCACTTGGTTTTGGGCCTATACAGCGGGACTGAGGGCTTGCTGGATGCCGAGATGAGTTCAGGGTGAAGAAACCGGAAACATGTCACAAACTCTAAGCCTGGGGAGGGTCGAGGAGAGCAAATAGCTGTCGAAAAAAAAGAGCTTTGGGTTTAGAGGGAGGCTTCAGTTTGGGAGCAGGCGTGGCTCTCTTGACTATGTTCCGAGGCTCCTGCAACTCTCACCGGATTCCCCTTTGCACATCTGAAAGACCTAGCCAAGGTGCGCCACTTGCCGCGATCTTGTAAACTCCATCACAAAGTGCTGCCTTAGCCGAGCTTCTGGCCGAGAGAAGCCACTAGCATGACTCTTTGTGCTACCCTGTGTTTAGGGTTTAGGGTTTAGGGTTTTAGGGTTGTGCTACCCCGTGTTGCAGTGTCACGTGATGTGCGTACTGCATTCCACGACATTTGGCCCAGTCCCTTAGTACAACCCAATATGGTTTCGCGACCGGCCAGCGAAAGTCCTGCGACATGGAAGAATCCTAAACCCTAAACCCTAAACCCTAAACCGACACATCACTCAGAGTGTCAACTCCGGGTCAACAAGCCAACACATCCCGAGATGGAACAGGCAGGGGCCCCAAGCGAGACTCCACCTGTTCTGCTGAGTTGAGCATACTTTGGGGTTCTATAATAAGGTTCACTTTAAGGTATATAGGGTTCTATAAGAAGGTCCCCTTTAAGGTCGAAGGTTCTATCATGCCAACAATACCATGTCTGGAAAGATCTAAGAATCTCAGCACGCTGATGCACCAGCAAAGCACTTGCAACAGAGAAGCTGAGGTCTGCGTCTGCATGTTGGCCAGGAGGCGCAAGGTCGTCTCCCAAATGCCTCCTGCCTGACGGTTCCAGGTTTTTTCTTAAAGGGATGTAGGGCTTGAGGGCTTAAGGCTTTAAGGGTTTACGGGCTCTCACCCAACTACCGGAATCCGCATACCCAAGCTGAAGCCCGAACTCGCTGCTGGCCCGACGTCTCCAGCCCATCGCCCGACGCTTGGGGTTCCTCTACTCCCTGGTTTTTGTT